TTTATAAATCAAGAAAATAAATAAATAAAAAATACGCTGTGCTAGCAGAGTCACGAATTGCATCCGTAAAGATAGGAGGGATATAACGAGTGATGAAACGACTCCATCTTGGCCCTGTCAGTTTATCACTCTGCAACTTTGCAAGTACTTCTGCAGCACTAATACGATCTTCCACAGAGGCGCGGCTATCGAGTAGCACTCTTAACATATACAGTAACCCTCCTGCAAGCAACTAAAATTGAAGGTGAAAAACATCAAAACGTCCACGCCACATTCGAAATTCGGAAAGGAAACTACAAATATGTGTGTACTAAAAATCATACCACACTCAAGAGATTCTTTCACTATTGTTACATTAGAAGATAAAGCGAGCATTGTCTGGAAAACCAAAGTGCGCACTGAAACAAAATAATTCGCTTTCAACATACGACGTTAATTAAGGCGTTTCGCTCCTTTCTATTACTAGCAATATATTTTTTTCAGTTCGCGGAAGATGATGCCTAATAACTCATGCTAGTCTATAAGTGTCCAAATTTTCTTGAAAAAAAATCAAACTCCGGCATAAAAATAAAAAAAAATGAAATCAACCAGCATTATTAAATAGGACAATACTTTCGCTCTCTTCTTGCATAAGGAGACCAAATATCAAAGAAAGCTGTGATGATGAAGCAATGTCGTTAACACACTCGCGATTGTTCGCCGAAAGCGATATCACCTGTAAAAGAATGTAAATTTAAAACTGAAATACAGACAGTAAACTGAAAGAAGAAAATAAAGTAAACAGTTACAAAAGAAGTGAAAAGTATCATGCTTTCCTAAAGATGTGTAAAAATACAATCGTTATAGCCGGAACTTACTTTTAAACTATTCTTTTGAATCTCCTGTTCATTTCTTAACTTAAGGAACTTAAACAACTTGGGAAAATGACCAATGAGCAGGATCTCAACACCTAAAAAATGCAAAATGCACAACTAGTACTGCAGTAAAGTGATGTTACAACTGGTTAAAAACGATATTGAATAAAAAGCCGCTTCTAGCAACGTGAAAATCAAACCTATATTTGCAGAAAGTACATTGGCAAGTGCTTCCAGACAGGCCCTCGAATTTTCAACCAAATCCAAGGAGCAGCAATTTTCAGAAACTTCAACTCCCCAGTCAATCAGGGTATCCTGAGCGTTCGCAATCTCCTCGTTCTTCTTCTTTTGTTCAGCATCACCAAAAATTTCCATACTGGAGCTTTCCAAAAATTCCAAAAGGTCCATGCAAACTTTCTTTGGCTCCTTAATAAAAAATCTACAGCAAGTTAAGTTCATTTATATAAGAAGTAAAGTTCCAGCTTTCCATAATCATAAAGAAATTGTACTGCTCAAGAAAGAATAAATTGTTTTTGTGAAATCTTAACATACCAGCAATACAAAATTTGGTTGCTCGTTATAAATTCTTATAAAAACATCCCCAACAATCAGTTCTTTTGCGTGAATGCTTGAACGGAATTCAGCTCCAAAAAAGTCATTCTAAAAAATTTCATATTCAGATAGAAGCAAACATTATAGAGAAAAAATGAGCACGTAAAGTAAGCATATGAACAAATTTAGTCCTTTTACCTATTTATTTGAATACAAATATGGAAAACAGACAAGTATAAAAATATGCATTACGCACGAGCGACTCCCAGTTAACCAGAGAAGTTATTCCGCTTAATTCCGAGACTACAATCTTTTAAAAGACTACCGACTGAATAAGTGTGGCTCCAAATTTAAAAGGCCGAAATGATGAGATAGAAAAGCAAATTATCGGTAGACTAATTATCATCGAAGTTCAAAAATCATTTATTTTTCGCTCAGCTAAACCTTACTTACAGTCCCGCAACTGTCTTCTCTGAACGGAAGAGCGAGCGAATTCTAGAATCGAGCAAAAATTTACACCTACTACATTCAGAACAATGAATATAACCCTATTTAAACATCTACCACCAAAAAGAATTGAAATGTAGGAGGACACAAACTTTACAGTAGACCTATGCTCTTTACTTTTACAAAAACAAATAGTGCAAAATTTTCTTCTGGACGAAATAAAAGGTGCTTCCAAAGCATAATCGCCAAAAGATTATAAGCTATACATGCTAGAGTAGGTCCAAATAAATGATTTTAGAGCATCTTAATGAAATTTCAAGTTTGACCTGGCTTTCTTACGAGGAATGAGAATGCGGTGAGAAAAGCGTTGCTTTTACTTTTTTTACATTTTCTGCTAGAAAACCAAGCCGAGTGCCAAATTTCATGGCAACACACCGCGATCGCCCAAATCAAGTCACTTCTGCAAATGTAATTCCCCACCCCACAGAGATTCCACTTCGCAACTTCTTTGTTCCCTGAGCAAGAAAATTTCTTACAAAATATACTGTTTTAAAAAAAGCTGAAGACGGATTTCACTTGTAATTTCTTTCATGAAATATGTACTCTCCTAACTTTAAAATGTTTTGCTGAAGCTGGGGCAAGATATGCTACATCCTGAATCTGAAACAAAAATTTTCTTCAAAACGCAAAATTAGCCATATCTGGCTACAAGCAATGAACTCATAAAATTTTAGACAGGTTCTGTTTGACTAAGGAATTAGAAGCTTAAACTTTAAAGAAAAGGGAGGAGCTGACTCTTCCTGGTTCTTTCGTCGATTTCGCGATTTCTAACCAGGCTTTACTAGTTGAAAGTTAAAAAAATTCCGAGAAATTATTTAAAGATGCAAAATCTGATTTGAAATATAAATTATACAAATATATACATTTGTTACACTAGCTGGAAGAACTATAACTAATGACGAGTCACTGTCTCAGCGATTCTTTTCAGAATAACCTAACTAAGTTCCTCTTTTTACTCTAGAAAATGAGTTGAAAAATGCGGCAAAACACTGCAAAGAGCTGTGCGTGGGTAAAAACTTACTTCAGAAGTTTTGTTTGTGCGATGTCTTTCTACATAATCAAGCAATTCTGCACGTGTCCCGTTGTCCCAAATTATGTATGGATCTTCGACATTACTATTTAATAGCCTTAATACCTTCAATAGAAAATATGAAGAAATAACAGTGGAGTTTCTACACAGGTGAAAGCTTTCTATTTGTGATATGGAAAAAACTTGAAGCAGAGAAAAAGAAGCTTAAACTTCAAAAAGACTCCATTGAAAAGTAATTTTGGTTGGAAAGCTGCCCTCGCTTAGCTAATATGCTCAAAAATACAACATTTCATAATCACACGAGAAGTGTTTGAACTAGTTTAAAATAATTTAAAATAATCTAGCAAGGAAGAGAAATAAATTTACATAGTCGTTTGTGTTGTTACACATGGATCTACATACGAAAGGAGTCAACATTGCCTTCAGGCTTTTTTGAACACCGTCATTCTCCGGAGTAGCTTCTCTATAACCAGCAAGGCATGCCAAGGCTTCACAGCTCGATCGAGCGAGCCTATTTCGCAAAGCCTGCTTATTCGTTTCTTCGGTATGCTCGACTCCTTAATAGTGTGTGCCTTGTTTGGCCAACATGCAATTACCAAGTAATAAATACAAACAGAGGAGCAAAAACAAAAAAGAGGCAAACAGGCAGAGCCTAATTTTAAAACACACCTCCTTCATCAAGAGTGAAATCATAGTGAAAAAGGTGAGGAAGTAGTTGCCACAAAACACCCGCTTGAAAAAGTCGCATCTGCAGCAAGGTACAAACTGCAAAAGCACATACACATTCTGCTGCAGCTGAAGATAGCCGAGTCAGGTGCTAAAGAATCACAGCATAAGGGTAAAATTTTATAAGCACACAGAAAGAAAAGTAATTCATTTTGAAAATCGATGTAAGAGGAATTTTTTTGATGGAAACAGTTTACCTCAAATTGTAACAAACGACAAACATTAGTAAACACAGTTGACATATCGGTTATTTTTTCTCGACAACCTTCGAAACGTGCAGCGGTAGCAAAGCAATTCAATATGTGAAAACAGACCTAAAATTACCTTTTAAGAGCGAATGAAAGAAGGAAATGCCACAATTTACGTTAAAACTAGCTGACGTAAGAGGACACCTGAACTGGCATGTCTTCTTCTTTGGAACTAAGGTTGACCATTGGACAGCATCGATCGAAAGCACTGTGTAAAGACTGTAAAAATAAAACAGCAGTAGCCAAAAAGAAATATTTCGCAGCAAATATCAAAATTAAAAACAATAATAGAGAAATGAATTTAGTAACTATGCTAAAGATAAATGTGCAATTAGAAGTTTCATCCCAAAATTTTACAAAACCTCAAGCCCTGAATCCCTTCGCAACTGCTCCGCATTTAGCGGCGAACAAGCTAAGGTATGATGGCACAGTTCTACTGCAGCGCAAAGAAGACCTCCACCTTCTTTGACGAACAGCGTATCTTCTTTGGCTTGCAGATCAATTGTCCGTATCAAATAGCTATATCCAGCGTACTTGTACGGTGCAAGTTCTAAAAAACACTTACGATATTACCTCTCGTTATCAAATTTAAAAAAAAGACACACTGTTACAGCCAAACCTCCTGCATGCCTTGAATAAACAATAGATTGAGCTTGCAAACAGATAACAATTCGTTGAATGTCTGGGTCCAGAGACGTAGAAGCCAAATTAGAGGTTAATAATTCGTAGGCGCAATTTATCTTTTCAAACATTTCGCGCCCTTTAGGGTTTTTATCTGGGTGGTATTTTTGAGCAAGCTGGTAGTAAGCACGCCGCACTAAAGACATATCTCTGTTGCTGCAATTGTAGTAATAATTCAACCATTGTTTTACAAATTAAACCCGTAGTCGGCTAACGAAAGTAAATAAATAATGCAGTCAGGGTTGTTGGTTGATCCATTAAATTAAAAGTCGTGAATACAAACTCATAATGCGTTTCCAGCTTCGTTAATAGTTAAAAACACTAAAAAAATTAAAATAAAATTTGAAAACTGACCCCTTCTCACTAAAAGTAAGGCCCAAAGTCTTGTAAGCCTGTTCCAAAGACATGGCCGGAGGTTTCTTCTCAATTTCTTCTAGCCATGTCTCGAGGCACGATCGTAAAAACTCCACCTTAAACAAAGATAGAACTACACACAAAGAAGAGTTTGAAAAAATTTTGATAAGACTGAAGAAAAAAGTCGTAAGAACAAAAGAAAAATCAGTAATTTACAAAACAAAAAAAACTATAACTATAACAAACCGGTTCACGAATAGGCCAGTTAGGAAATTTTGCCTGATCGCATAAATGCCTTAAGTAATAAACATGGCAAAAAAGTTCATCTTTTAGCTGGGGATAGTCAACGGATGGGATAGGGCAATACTGGTAGAGCACTTTGATGTTCGAAGGAAGTCGATGAGAAAAATCACTAACATGCAGTGCAATTTTCTCTATTAAATGTCTCCTATAAATGCCGCTAAGAACTTATAACTATAAAAATAAATAAAGTGAAATGGTTTACACAACAACAGGTGAAAAACTTTATTAAAAATTTCAACATTTCTAAGATTGGTCACATTCGGCCTGCCGTTTTAAATAAAACCGACAAAGTTACTAAGTAATTTTCTATTAAAAAGAGAAGCCTTTAAAATATTTTTATAAACATGCCCCAACATTTTCATTAAATCGTTTTGAAGAACCTTTTTGAAGACATCATACAAAATGACTTGTGTCCAAGCTTCAACTCTACTTAACAGAAAAGCGTGAAAAATTCTAAAAATTCAAGTTAAAAAGCGTTTACTGACATATGGAGGCCTAACTCTTATACCTCATTTCAGCATTCCATATGATTTCTGGATTGTCAAATTCTCCCAAGAAAACTTGAGCGAATTTTTCAGGACCATATTCCTCGAGATAAAAAATGCAAGCTTCGGGAAGGAGTGGCGACAACACACTACGAGATGCAAATTCGGATTTGGCCTAAAAAAAAGTAGTAGCACATCTTATACACTTATTTAACAAAAAATTTTAGTACGATTAGAAAATAATCGAGGCATTAAAAGGCAAAAACCTTAAAAGTACCACTTGGAATAGAAGCATTATTCAAATACTAACCACAACCGATCGGAATGCTTGTTTCATGTGAGTGTGATATAAAAAGCGAGCGATTGGTAATACATTTGAACCGTTGTACATGAGAATAAAAAAAAATATACCAGAAAGATACAAACGTGATAAAAACGGATTATCCTGAAAAAATGCCTAGGCTACACAACGGTAAATAAATTGTATTAACCGCCTACCTCCATTACATGAAGAAAAAGTGCTGCAACGCGCTGCACAATTGCTGGATCATACGTTAGTAAAAGCTGTACTAACTGGTACATTAATACAGGTTCCGAAAGACCACGTTTAATTTGAGGTAAAGGTCTAATTACGCATTTATCCTCGTCACTGAAATATGGAAGTACAAGATAAATTTATAAATGATTATTATGTTCAAAAGATAATTTAAAAAGTAAGAAAAAACTAAACTATCTCTATCCTAGAAAACGTAAACAGAGTTCAAATGACCAGCTGACTCAGAAAGCCAAAAGTAAATTAGATGACTTCGTATACCCATGAAAAACCCTAATGTCAAGAAAATGAGTAGAAACTGGCTAATCAAAAAGATAATGTAAGGCTAAATCCAAATTTGAAGACGAAATTCCAGTTATTGACAGAAATTTAAACCCTTATATATGAAACAATTATAAAAACTAAATTAAAAACAACATAAGGTAAACCTAACCGAGATGGAAAAAATGAACACATTTGTATTAGCAGATCCAATATAACCGCACAAAGTTCGGAAAAATTATAGAGGGTGTTACCCCCAGAAGACCCGCACAGCGTCCAACGGAACTGTGGCACAGAAGATAAAGAGGCCCACTGCTCCATTCCTTGAGCCCAAACTTGAGTCCTTTCAAAGATTTGTTTCTCTTGATACAACTCTTTCATCTGTAATCGCAGTCACATATTTGGCAGTTAAAAACGTGTCTATTAGACGAATTACCTTTTGGAATGTGAACGGTCCATGTCGCTGTCCACTTTTGTCCGTATAATACCATTCCAAAGACTCATTATTTTCTGACCTTGTTGCTGCTTCAATTAAATTTGATTGTATCTGTAAGACGAATTAAATTATACAGCACTTGATGAATGAGAAATAATGGTAGCTAAAAACTGTACCTGGTTATGAACCTGAGCTCGTGTGGTATGTAAATGAGCTAGAACAGCTAAATCAACTAGTAGTGGAAGTGCTCCAGCAGAAAGAATTTCACGCACGTTTTCTCTGTTTAGAACTAATTTGCTTATGAGCAGAACCTAAACGGTTACAATCTAAATGCGACAACAGATGTATGTTAAAATCTTTAACAAGTGAAAAAAAAAATAAGAAAACAATAAACTTTCTTATCTGACCAAATGATCTCTTTCTGAAGCATTTGTACACTTTGCAAGCATAGAAATCATGTATTTTGAGTCGGGAAATGGCCCAATAAGTTCGTAATGACGTCCATAAGTAACTGCTAGAGCTTTTAAACATAGGCAACGCATCTCACTTTTTGCGGAAAGCAGAAATCGATGATAAACATTGTTGAAAAACTCATTTCTAAACAATTATTATTTACTGGCAGTTCATCGGAAACTGAGCTTAGAAGCAATATGAGATCCATACGGATTATGTATAGGAGTGGCGGTAGATTCAGTTTCTTGTAATAATAACCTCAGATAATAGTCACCGATTTTCACTTCATCAGACAAAGAAGCGTAATTAGTCTGTAAGTAGAACGGAAAACCATTAAAAAGCATCGCAAGCCATAGTGTAAGGGGGAAACAGTTTCAATAAAGATTTCTCAAAAAATACCTGAAACTCAGCGTGGTTCCATGAAATTTGCACATTAGAACCCGTCATTTCCTTCTCCTGTTCTAGCAAACGTGTTTCGTCCTCAACTGCACGACGAAACTCTTCTCTAGTTTTTTCATTCCAGATAAGATTGGCCTTAATTCTTGAGAATCAACTCTTTTTTATATAAAAATACGCATAAATTTTATTATTTTCTCCAACCGCTAATAAAATTTGGTAACCTTCACATGCCTAAAGAAACTGACACCAAAAAGCATTCCGCGAGGCAAAATACCAATGAGGCAGCTCTATCAATATAATTTTTAAAAATACAGAGACTGAAACCTTTGCGTGATCCTGCCCAAACTGATAACAAAACATTTTCCAGTTGACACTGCTTTTCACTCTTTGTCGGCGTTTACGCAAAACCACAGGCCTCTGAGTCTTATCCTGCAAAAAAAACCAAGTAATGATTAGGAAAAAATTTTTGAAAATGAAATTATATACTCATTTTAAAGCACCTCTTTTTTAGGTAAGAAAGAAAGCTTCTGCTCAAGGTTCCAATGCTGCAAAAGCTGCTCTAGCTTGGCCTCCAAGGTAACCTGCATGTGTTGAAGTTGCTCCTTAAAAAATCTCTTGATGTATATAGTAAAACTTATGCCAGTGGAACTCTTCGAAAGAATGAACCGAAACTAATGATGGCCTTGTTTAAAAAATATAAATAAAATAAAATTTTTGAAAGAGAAAACTAAAGTTATATTCAAAGCCAAAAGTAAAACTGAATAAACCACAATTAAGTTCAGTATTCTGGAAAAATAAAAACTTTAAATAAATGCATTTTTCAAAACCCTTGATAATGACAAGAAAAATTTTCAAATAAGCGGACCATTAAATGACTTTGTTTCGCTTCAAGCGTCGCTTGTTCAAGATTGTTACGCTGTAACAACAAATCAGCTTCCGACACATTAGGCTGTTCCAAAGAGTCCAGGTAATCAAGAAGCCCACGAGGCTAAAACAAAGCGCATTCTGAGAGATAGTAACCAAATGAAGTAAAAATGCAAAGCTATTTCTACTCAAATAAAAATAATAACCAAGTCTTAAGCGTTTCTTAAAAGCAATTTGAAAAAATTACAAGACATCTTGCTAGAAGATCCAATGCGTCCGGATTGTTTGCTATCCATAATGCAATTAAATGACCGCTAAGTTGGCGATTAGTCAAAACTCTAAGATCCCGTCCAGTAGAAAGGAGTGCCATATGCAAATGCTTTAGGAAAGCCCCTTCAGTCAAGGACAAAATTTGCATCTGTTTCGAGATTTCAGGACTTGATTCTTCGATTATCGCTCTCATTACCATTCCTGCTCCTAAAAAAAACCAGTAACAAGAAATAAGTAACAGAAGAATGTGTTTTTGAAGAGAGATAAACGACAACAAAACAAAACCTTTGACGATAGTCATTGATGGGGATTGAAACAAACTGTAGAAATGTCGACCACGTGCTGCGACCAACTCAAGGATGGAATCAAAAATGTCACCAGGCGTAGTTTCGCTAAAAGGCGCGCATACCGCATAAGTTAAAAAATCCAACATACTTGCTATAACAAGCGAACCGGTCCCACGCTCCTAAAATGAATTGCTTTATGTCTGAGGAACAAAAGTGAAAATTAATACAAACCAAACCATAAAAAAATTTAAGTTCGCCTCAAAACTGGCAAGAGAAAAGCATAAACAAAAAAGGAAACTCACTACATGGTTTACGATGAGATTTAACAGATGTTCTACAAATGGTTTGCTAGAGAGTAATGACTGTTTATTTAGTTGCTCCAGCCTTAGTTCGTAATTTGCATGCATTGGTTGCATTAATGAACACAGCATCTCAACACAGGCATAATCAACTGCTTCACTCTTCCTGTTAAGCATATTTACCACTAAACTTCCGAGCTTCTCTCTTATCCTGAAATGTGAGAACCTAATACAAGCCCCAAATAGACCAACCATGCATAATTAGCCGATTCTTATAATTTAAGAAGTCATTGAAGAAGGACGATTAAAAATTAAAAAATTTTCACTACAAGAAACTTGAATAAAGAAATAAAGAGCACTATACCCTGTAACAGCAGTAAATGCTTGAAAACCAGACTTTGATGCAAAAAGACGATGTAAGCAATGCATCTGAGCTTCACATTTAAAAAGAGAATCAGCTTCGTTGGCTGGGTACGATTCACATAACACGTTATCAATACAAGAAACAATCAATTTTCCCTTGTTTTCGGTAAAAAATCCCTACAAGGCACAAAACTTTTCAACTACTCCTTCTAAAAAGTATGAAAAAATGTATTAAAAAATGAGTGTGAAGAAGGAATAACTTCTTGAGGAGCTGAATATGTGAATCCATTGTACGGTATGTTAGCATTAAACCTCCTGATGAGATCATATCTTCTCAAACCAGCTATAAAAATAAAATTAGAAATATATTGCAATTTTTTCTTATTTTCTTGGGATTACTCGAGACTAAAATCCAAATAATTATAGGAAGAATATTGAGAATTGAGAAAGACTGATTTAAAAAAAATGTTGCTTACGTGGAGGTGACACAATAAACCTCATGCACTGGAGCTCGCTATCCTCATCTAATAGAAACTTGTGGGGTAATATACGCAGAGAACGATCAAACTTATATCCTACTACAAAAATTTCGCGATTCCCTGAAGCGCGAGAACCGTCCACAAGAGAAGCCAGTATTGCATCGCTATATGTACAAAAATTAATAAAATACCTTGACTAAAAGAAAGATAAACTCAGAAGAAAAATAATAAAATTTACCGCTCTGCGGCTGCATAAATTCGGCATTCACCCGTATCATATTCGATAGTGAATTTCTGCTGATCATTATTGTCCCTTGTTAGGCATACAATCTAAACATACATTATCTATGACATTCCTCGTAAATGTTGTAGAACAATAACGGTTTTTGTGCTTAAATTCACATTCTAAGAGAAGGAGAACTATCAAAAAAAAAAAAAAAAGAAAGCTGCAAGCTTGACAAGATCCTACGGTGAAATCAAAATTTAGTCCCTTACTTGATCTCAAATTAAAAGAAAAAAAAAAGCAGCAAATTATTCAAAAAAAAAAAGTAGAATATTTCGGACACGTAAAATGAACCGTTTTGAGGAAATGAGCACAAACAACACTATATGTCGGCGGGTCGCGTTCAACTATGCAAGTTTCACTAAGGCACAACAACCGTCTTACAGGGCAGTCTTGTCTAGGCGTAAACTTTTGTACTTTGAATTCAACGTAAGACATCAAATGCTCATCAGAACTAAAATTAAACATACTTTAATTACACTAGAACGAAAGACACCAATATAAATTCCAAATCTTGTTACCTGCACATACCAAGGCGAGTGGTAATATAGTCCTCTAATACTAATTTTTCCTTTACGAGTGGCACTGTTATGCCGATATATTCTGCTGCTAAGTTCCGGATCGAAGATATCAACTCCTCATAATTTTCAGAAGCGAATAAGTGCTAAATATCAATTTGAAATAAAACCAAACTGCAGTGATAGTAGTATTGAACAGAAAAAAGCTTATGTGACAGACTTTCGAAAAACTCTATTAAAAATCTTAATTATTGATGAAATAAGAAAGACTCATTGAGAAAAACGTATAAACCAGTAACAATTAAAATAATATCTGGCCAGTATTATTTGTCCTCCACATAATGATAAATGAAAAATATATCCAAAATAATTCATAACTGATAAAGAAAAAGTACCCGACGTTTCTGCTCCCCAATATCCACCACGAAGCCACCAGGATAATTATCCATCTAAACCATTTTTCAACATTGGAAAATCTCCCACAGTACGTTCATACGAAAAAAATGATAACAAAATGTAATCAACCACCTTCACAATTTGACGAATATCTTTGTACTTGTATGTCGCCACAACCGACTGACGATTATCAATTTGCTGCAAGCAACACACCGTGCTTCGGAGAATTACTGGAACCCTTCTTCCTGACCAATCGTGTTTGTAACCAGTACATTTCTAAAAAGAAAGTGACGAAACTGATGGCGGGCATAAGGTTGACAATGAAGTGGAAATAAAAAACCTACATAATTAACAGTTTTAGCATCTGCAAATCGGGGTTGATGTAGCAAGGTCTCCGTTAATATATCCAGAATATTCTCCGAGGAGAAGCGAAGAGTATCACTTTTCTTTTTCGACCTCACTTGGATAATAAACTCGTCACTTCCTTGAGCAGTTGATCGTGGTGCCGGTTTAATGTTAACAAAATCCTCATATTTCCACTGAAACCATATGTCAATACTACTGGGATAAAATTATAAAATCAGCATTCTCTTTGCCTTAACTTAATAGAAAGCAATTTGCCAAACCTGATTTGTAATTTCCAGAGACGTTGGGTTGTATGTTGAAACAGCAAGCGTCCCTATCGAAAAGATCCTCTTATACCTGAAAGAGAAACGTTCCAAATGTTAAAGGGTAGATGAAATATCTCAGAGTTGAAAACTTCAGTACGGCTTCAAACAAAAGTCCACTTAGTGCTAAAAAAGGTGTAATAATCCGGCCTAATACATTTCTATTTTACAGATTCAAAAGTTGCTGCCTGAAAATTATTCACAAATAAGATCCGTTTCTTACGCTATTTCTCTTGAAAACCAGTGACTGCATAATTTACCTCCCTTTCCAAGAGTGTTTCGTAACCAAAAAACATGCTATGTCGCGATTGTAGTTGCCATCAGGAGTATCGATACCCATATTAAAATTATTAACATAAATTCGTCTTCTCAAAATCTCATGGTAAAACCACCTCTTACACCTCCAAAAGCGTTCTAAAAAAAAAATTACTGTATTGGAATGTCACTTTCGGGACAAAGAAAAAAGAGATTTAATTTTAAAAAACTTTAATGGCTATGAGGTATGACGAGGTAAGAGTAAACAATCCGATAGTTGTTAGTGATTCTACGACGCTGCAAAGTGGATAACAGTCAAGTATTACAAAAAAGTAACAGTTTTAACTAGACAAGGAGCTTAGTTAAATATTTTTTTCATTGATTATTGATGAAGTCACGACAATGAATAGAAGAAAAGAAAAAAAAAAGATAGTATTCGTTTCGGTATTCTGAATTTATGAGACTGACGTTTGCATAGAGATAAGGAGTTGCTATGAATATATAAAACAAAATAATAAATTAATTAACAAGAAGAAATTTTTAAATGAATGTTAACTGGTGATTTGTTTTGGTCGCCATCAACATGTGTATTTCGGTGTCATCGACAGTCTACTGATGTGTAAAAACTGTGAGATGAAAAAGAAAATAGAAACCAAAAGAATTCAAAACTCCCGAAGTTTGTCGGAACAAAATAATTTATTTCTGATCTCTGTGTGTGTGCGGAAGAAGTGCTCGCAGTCGGTAACGTCATCGTGAGAATCTCACAATGAAACTTGCCCGGGAAGCCAATATGGTCATTTTTTTGTTTTTTTTTTTTTTTGCACCACGGAGTTTATGTGAGAGGTATAAACAAAACCATACTGCGGCAACCCCACTAAACTTCTGTCAAAGTATAGAAAATAAACTTTATCATTTGGTGCCGATCCAAAACGCTCAACTGCCTATACATTCGTCATTCTGAATGTCTTTAGCAAAGAAAAAAAATTAAAAACTTCCTTTTACAACCCTTAAAACTTAAATTTACAGTTCACCACCCTTTCCTCCTGATAAATTTTCATTTATTTGTCCCTTAAAATAGTCTTATAAAAACAAATATCTCCCCTCCAGTCAGGCATTCCTAAATCAAAATAATTTATATAATGAATCAGAAATATTTATTGAAACCAGTTAACTGCTTTCAACACTGACATCATATTGAAATTACAAATTAAACAGAGGAAGGAAAAAAAAGACGATCAAAGGGAGCGTAAAAAGAATTTAGACTTGTTGAAACCATTGGCCAAAAGATAACATCAAAACAACAACAAATTTTTTACCTTTCATCAGGGCTAAAACGTGTATGATGGCATCAATGAGAACTTCAAAGCATTCAGAACATGCATAAACGTACGCCCATTAACCAAGTGTTCTCATGAATGTATTTAATAAAACAGACAAAAAGCCGAAAAAGAAAGCTAAGCAAAACAAAAAAAAAAAAAAAAA